CCCTCAAGGAGCTTTCAAATGGATTTCGGGTCAACATGAAAGTTGTTCCTCATGATCTTAGCTTTCTAGAAAGGTATGGTATGCCTTCATCTGATTTGTGGAACTCTACTTATGACTTTGGCAAGCGAAGGGTATTTTGGTCATTTGGACATTATAGGTCATTTCAAGCATATGGCCATATCTCCTACTTCCAAGCTTCAAATGGAAAAATCTTCAACATCAAAGTTGCTTAGAATTATGTTTTAAGGCTAGTAGGGTGGTCATGAGATGTTGGAAAGGCTCATAGCAAAAAGTGATAAAAATAGCCTAAAAATGGGACATAAGTTAATTCAAGTGAAATGGAAAATCCTAAAATCCAAGTTCCAAATCCAAACCATGGCATATGATAGGTCATTTTGACTCCCAAGGACATTTTAGGAACATTGGTTCAGCCACAATTTTGATTTGAGGCTTAAATCTTGGAGTTGCTTTGTAAAAGTCTTACTTGCATAATGGCATACTAAACCAAAACAAAGAAAAGCTTCATAAATAAGGGAAATAAGCTTTGTATCTTGTTCAAAATACCACTTAAGGAGAAAATCAAGTGAATTACTCAAGTTGTAAGGATTTTGTCATGATATCTCACATGGTGAGAATGGAAATGCAAAATATCAAGTCATGAAACTTCAAGTTCTTTCTAGAGTGATCTAAATGGTTCTAGATCTTTCTAAGCATCTATATATATGGACTACAAAATCCATTGGTGAGAGGTTGGTGATTGTTGATGTTAATGGTGGTAGAGAAAAGAGTTTGAACCAAAAATTTTCCATTTGCAAATTGAATTGAAACTTCATTTTTCTCTTCATTACCCTTCCATTTTCTTCCACAAATCATCACTACAAACATCCCTGAGTATGCTCATGCTAGCTTGAGACACCATTGTTGAACAATTGGAGCTTTCCAAGTGAAGTTGCAAAAGAGCAAAAGTGATTGGATCTGAAGATACAAGCCATCTCCATCAAATCTTGTGCAAGAAGAGTGTTATTCATCACATAGAGACCATTCTTGAAGATCCACAAGGCCTGGTTCAAAGCTTTTCAACACTTGCCATTGTAGGGTCAAGGTATGCAAAATCTTTCCCATACTCTGTTTTAGGCATGGTTAGGATTAGTTCTTGTTGTGAAACTATTAGAGACCATTAGGGGATTCATTTGGATGGGTTTTAGACCAATTAGTAAGGTTTCATTAATGGAGGTTAATTCTTGATGGAGGTAGAACACATGATTTAATGGATGATAATGCATGAGAATTGGTTGGTTGTGATCAGCATAGCATGAGGATTAATTATATACAAAGATTGTTGAGTTTTATGATGGTCGAAAATTGAAGAATGTTTGGATCCATGGAGTTGTACTATTCGGGTAGAATGATAGAGAGAGTGTTAATACAAACTATTGGCATGGTTGGATTCTACATAAAATTCTAGACAAATTTGGTTCTTGGATTGTGTCATTTGATGGAGAAATGAGAGAGAACAAAGAAGATGAAGTTGCATGCATGAAGCTTATGTTCATGGAGTTCTAAAACCCTAACATCCAAAGGTTGAAGACAACATGATGACCATTGGATTTGTGTGGACCGGTTGACTTGGAGACCATCTAACGGTCCAGAATTCACACGAAATAATGGAGGGAGGCTGCATCATGGGCTCACACGAATTTGATTCCCACACCCCCATTTCCAAGCCCACTCGGTTACACTATGGATTCATGCTATTTGCACCATTATTTTCATCTTTTTCTTTTATTTTTTTTTAAGTTTTCTGAATAAAAGCTGGGCTGGGGCGTGTTACTTCCAGCACCCCCATGTTCTGGGCCCAGTTCATTTTTAACTGCATTTTACTGCTTTTCATACCCCTCATGCCATTTCTCATATTATTTCTTCTCCAAATTTCTCCAAACTTTAAAAATTCATAACAAAATGAAAAATGCATATTTTTTAATGAGACTTTTTTTTCCCATTTCCCATTTTCTGTCTAGAAAAATATAAAAACATAAAATAGCAATTTTATTTCAGTTTTATATTTTTTGTGCATTTTTACTTTTAATTGCTTTTTTAATTCTTTTAGTTGGTATGTTGACTTGTAGAATTTAATTAGGGTAGTTCCCTTAGGATTTTAAGTTCAATTTTTTTAGGATAATTAGATGAATGGTTTAGGTTCCCCCTGAATTAATTTCATAATTTTTTGATAATTTTTAGGGTAGTTTTAATTAGGTAGTTCTAAGTAGTGTAGAATTTGATTAAAACTTTAGTATAGGTCAATAACAATTTTAGATTTAGGTTTTTTAGGGCAATTTAGTCTATGGGAAATATATGGGACTTAAGGGTAGTTATGTAGGGTCCCCTAGCATTTATATTAGGAATTAATAGAATAATATACTATTTTTGGTTGATTTTTGAATTGATTGATTGTGTGGTGTGCCCTTTCTAGGGTTATTGTTTGATTGTGTGGGGTATTGGGCTTGTTTGGGGCCTGGGTTTGAGTTGAAGACTTTGTTGATGAAGCCCATTGAAGACAAAAGGAATGAGGACCCATTTCAAGAGTGGATGGAGAGTATATCTTGCTGGCAGCTGATGAGGTTATAAGGTTTAGGAGTTAGGTAGAGCTCTAGAATAGGAACTTGATTCACAAACATGGAAGGTCTTGTTTGCCTCCATTCTTTCTCTATGATTCAAAGTCTCTTTTAAATATCCACCTCCTTCCTTTGGAAGGATTAGTGAATGTATTTAAAAGATAGAACTTTTGAGAGAAAACTGTCTATATCATGTTAACATTCAGTAGGCCACCCTTGGTAGGCAACTGACTGCTTAACATCCAATTCATCTTGTTGACTGATACTCATCTTGGAGAGTGAGACTTGAAGAAAAGCCATTGGAAGATTGAAGATAGAGACCTTGCTTGAAGACAGATGTTGATGAGGATTGCTTTTGCTGTTTATAATTTTTGATGTATTGTTTGAATTTCTCTGACTGTATTGTTTGCCATTAACCTGTTAGGTTGAAAGCGAATTTTGTTCGCTTTTGCCTGTTGTTTTCTGGGTTCGAGGTTGAGTGGGACTCCCTTGCCTCGCTTGTATTGCTGCATCCATGCATTTTACTGCTTTATTGTATATATGCTATTGTTTCTGTTTCCGTTTATCCCTTAGGATCTCTGTTTCTCTCTGCGCAAGAGAGGAACATGATAGACATTAGGTCTTAACCCATGCATGATAACATTAGGTTAGTTTGATTCCCTTTTAAACCGTAGGTTAGAGTTCTGTCTCCTCTTTCTCAAAACAAACAGAAAAACACAATAAATCTTTCAAACACAATAAAAGACACTTCTTCCGTAAAAGAATGTGAACTCATCAAAACGTCAATTTTTGTCCGCTTGGACCAGTAATCTGAAAAACCCTTTTTTAGAAGGAGATAAAAGCAATCAAAACAGATTTGTGTCGTACGTGGCCCGAACTACGTTTGCTCTGATCTTTCATGTTGTATGAAAGTACGTAGGCATAGGATGCGATATCCTAGCGAGCAACCTTCCCCTCCTTTCCCGTAGGTAGGCGAACTACGTTGACTCTGATTTCTCGTTCTAGACGGGAATACGTAGGCATAAAGCGCGATACTTTGCCGAGTCATTTTATTTTCTTTTAACCCCAGACCTGTAGAATAGATAGAATAACAATCCGTACCAGAAAACAAGCGTGGATCCCGTCGAGTACGACGGATGTGAGGGGTGCTAATACCTTCCCCTTGCGTAACCGACTCCCGAATCCAGGATTTGGTTGCGATGACCATTCCTTTCCCCGTTTTGAAGTAGGTTTACCTCGAGCGTTTCCTTTCCCCTCTTTGGGATAAATAACGCGCGGTGGCGACTCTTCTATTCATCCGGCGCCGATTTTCGCAGTAGCGACAGCTGGCGACTCTGCTGGCGACTCTGCTGAGCACTATTCACCAATTGGTCACAAGACACCTCATGCTACTTTATCGTTGTTTTCGACTTTATTTATATGACATGTGAACTATCTGGATTTATATTCGTCATTTTTTGCATATAGGTTGTATGATTTAAGTCTCGCCACATAACGTAATACATAACACTTATAAATCTTCATTTGAATACACGTAAACAAAACATAACATCTATTATTCTATTCTAATAAAGATACATCTCTGTAGAATAAATGGAGATAAATCGAAAGTACAATAAACTCAAAATGATTTTTGAATGTGAAGCATGGTATATATTTTAAATTGTTACGAAAATATATCTTCAGTTCATTTAACATTTCAAAGTACGTCCGAAAATATATTTCTAAAATCATTAAAACATTTTAATATTTTCGTGTAAATATAACATATAGAAAACATTAAAAAATTCCCAAATTATATATCATTGTAAAAATCTATTTTAAAAATAAGCCAAAATAAACCAGCCCATAACTTATACGGTCATTTTGATATCCTTTACCTTTGTATTTGGGTTCTGACATAATACTTACGTGGTAGTTTCCATAACTCCTGGTAAACATGTGATCCACTCTAAGGTGTAGTTTGATCTGATTCTTGGAAACCTTGTTAATTTGATATGTTTCATCTACCGGTGTTATGTGCAACTTGTTTTCCAGAAGTTTTATTGCGATTTGCCACCATTTCATATTGTGCCACTGATGTTTCAACTCCCTGCCTTTTACTTGCTGGACATGAGCCATTTAGTTAAAGTCCTTTATCCTATAGTTTGTAAGCTCATGAGAATTTATCCACACTTTAAATCGCATTGAAAATGGCAGAATAAAGATTAAAAAAAAACTTGTAGCTTATATACCCATAGTGCAATTGTAATTACAAAATAAAATTGGAATGAGAGTAAGAAAATTTTCGTTAAAATTTAGATTGAACAAGGTGATATTACATCAACAAGCTGATGTTGATTGAACAAACTATTAAAAATTCTACCGACAACAATAACAAGATTTAACCTAACCCCCAAAACCATAAAGGGTCCTTCCTTGCCTCTTGAGCGCATAAACAACATCCATAGCAGTAACTGTTTTGCGGCGAGCGTGTTCTGTGTAAGTAACAGCATCACGAATAACATTCTCGAGAAAGATCTTGAGAACGCCACGAGTTTCTTCATAGATCAATCCACTTATACGCTTCACACCACCGCGTCTAGCAAGACGACGAATGGCAGGTTTTGTAATTCCTTGAATGTTATCTCTGAGAACTTTCCGATGACGCTTTGCTCCACCCTTTCCCAAACCCTTTCCTCCTTTACCTCTTCCAGACATGCTTGATTGATTGCAAGATTTCTTAGGTGCTAAATTAGAAATTTCGAGGAGGGGATATTGTTGTTTCTGTTGAGATATATGAGAGGGTTTTATATAGAATTTGAGAGGATAAATGCTTTGCCGTTGGATTGGGTGCTTATCTGTGTGAAAGATCTATTTGAAGATATGAGCCGTTAGATTAGAAATGATTGGCTGAAAAATTAAAATGGCTATCACACGGATCGCCAGGGTGGCTGCGTTTTAATTTTTCAAAGTGGCGCTAAACAGATTTACCAATTTAATTGGGCGGAGATTGACTTTTCAAGTAATGCTGCTACTAATTTGTTCACCATTTTTAAAAACAATGAAAATATAAAATAGGATTTTTCTTTTCAACAAAATTCTCTTAATAATCATTTTCTCAATTAGTTTTCAATGTATCCATGTTTTAAATTTAAAAAATTGCAATACATAGCACTAATAAATCTAATTGGTGATTTTATTGAACAAACAAGAGTTTTAGTCAATTGAATTGGCGACTACATCTAATCTAGCCAATTGAATTGACGACTATGTACAATATACAAGTCATAGAAGCAGTCGCCAATTCATCTGGTTTCTATGTGTTAGAGGACAATATGACATCCTTTTAGAGCATCCATTGAGGTTCGAGTTTAAAGCCAACAACTGTTAGAACACAGATTGGTTCTTAATAGTATCTCTATGTTTTGATGATAACTAATATGAAATTTTGTATTTAAGAATTATATACTCTAAAATTTGCTTGAGAGTTTTTACTGCAGATAGTAAAGGAATTAACACTCCAGAAGCAAATCAGAATTGAACATAAGAAATTTGCTAGACTCTGAAGCGCCAGATGCATCCATTAGAAGATTTTGATTGCTGCCAACAGAAGATCCTGAGCGTAGCCTCCAGAAGATTCTGAAGAAGATTCTGAAGCGCCAGATGCATCTATTTGCATTGCATTGTTCGCATAACCATTACCATGTGCATTTCATTAACGTGTGTTTGTGCTGCAGGTGCATTTGCATATTCCCTGATCCTAGTGTCCTGACTTCTGCTTATTGATCATGGCTGGTTTGAGAAAGACAGTTGCGTACAAGTTACCTACACCTGACATTACTCCCCTACTTGGTCTGATGTCCCTGGCTGATGAGGAGGTTAGGAGAAGTTTCAGGATGAGTTATGGAAGATTATTGAGACTGGTCTGCAAGCCAACTGCTGTTGAGATGAATGGGCTGTACACCTTGATGCAATTCTACGACCCCGCTTTGAGATGTTTCACATTTGCTGACTTTATTTTGGGGCCTACCATGGAAGAATACGCAGAGTTTATTGAGCTGCCGGTGCAAAATAAGGTTCCTTTCATCCATCGTGACGCTAAGCCCCAGCTGGAGGACTTAGCTAAGGCCTTGCACATGAACGCTTCTGAACTATTAGTGACTTCTTGGCTTGGGGTTCCAGGCTTCTCCCTCGATTTTCTGGTTGGCAAAGCTCAAGAATACGCCAAGAGCGGGTTCTGGATAGTCTTTAATGCTATCTTGGCTCTGTGCATCTACGGAATAGTGTTGTTTCCCAATTTACCCAATTTTGTGGACTTCAACGCCTTTCATCTGTTTGCTGCTGGCAACCCGGTACCCACTTTGATTGGAGATCTCTATCATTCATTGCACTACAAAAATGAAAATAGAAGAGGAAAGACTATTTACTGTTGTGCGTCGTTGTTGAACATGTGGTTTAAGAGCCATCTCCCCCTGAAGGGACCTTTTGTAGATAGTGCAACTACAGCTGACTGGCCAGAGCGCCTGATGAGACTATCTTCTGAAGACATTGAGTGGTTCGACCGAGACTTGCTGGGGTCTGAGCTTATTTTCAGCTGCGCCGGATATCCTAATATTCCTTTGATAGGAAGAAAAAGGTGTATCAATTATAACCCATCTCTGTTCATTCGCCAGTTTGGATACGCGTTGAAGAACCCACCTAGGGAGGAAGAAGTACAGGAATCTCTGTACTTCACCGGTGATTTGAATGGAGAATTACTAGCCAAGCTTCAGCACGCTTGGATGCGTATCAACAGAAGAGGGAAGCCAATGTTGGGGAAGAATGATTGTCAGGCCTATGTACCATACAAAGTTTGGATCTAAGAGAGGGCAAAACAGTTGCTGATGCCATTTCCAGCTGCACCGGTTCATGTTCATGTTCCAGTGGAGGAACCAACCACCGTTGCTATGGAGGTCTACGAGCGAGTTGTAAAAGAAAAGGAAGCCTTGATAAAGATCAATGAAGAGTTAGAAAATGAACTGGCTCAGATGCGTAGTGAGAAGAACAAGGCTGTGCATTCTTTCCAACAACAAACTGAGTTAGTAAACAGGTTAGGTGCTAAACTGACCGAAGAGAAAAAGAAGCGTGAACGCCTGGGGAAAGAATTCAGAAGCTCTCATGATATGTTGGAGTCCAAAAAGAAAGCACTCGATGCCGCCCACCGGGAAATCTCTTCTTGTAACAAAACATGGAATGCTACGATAACCAACAATATAAAGAGGGAAGACAAATTGAAGCAGCAAATTTCTGAACTCGAAAAACAGTTGAAGGCTAGCACTAAAAAGTATGAAGAGGAGGTGATGGCAAGATATAGTCTTCAGAATGCATTGAACAAGGCCATCGAAGGCAAGAAAGAGGTTGTGTCTCAGAAACGGAAGCTAGAGGATCGCTTCGGAGAAGGGGCATGGGAGGAATCTGCTGGTGATTTACGACGTGTTCTCAAGCGAAGAGATCTACTTGTTGAGGGTCTGCTTTCCCGACCAAGTCATCCAGAGACTAAGAGGTTATTAGAAGAGTACCAGGCCTATGGGGGCACTTGACCGTTTCATGTATTAATGTGTATGCTTTATTGGCATAGCGCTGACCATCACCAGGATTGTTGGTTGAGGTCATGCCTTCTTATTGTACATTCATTGATATTGTATTCCTGGCTTAATGGATTTATCTGCAATATATGAGGTGTTTTCTATGATTCGGCTCCAAACTTCGTATTGCTATCACTGTCACCGCACTGACACATTCGCATTAGAATCGAGGAATGATGTTCCCTAATGCACAGACACATATTGCATTGCATACAAATACATATTGCATTCACCAGTAACTATTGGATCTGTACCTCATCTCCTGCATCTTCCAGGTCTTCCAAGATTAGCGACCGAAGAATTCCCTGACATTCAACCAGAAACAGCAGTAAGAAAGTCATGGGTCAGGATCAGATTGAGATGCAAGAGATGCGCAACAACATGACGCAGTTCATACAGGCAATGGAAGCCATGGCCAAGGGTCAGGAACAGTTGCAGAATATGGTGCAACCTCTGATTGCACGGGCTAATGATAGTGTTGCCGATTTTGCTCAGCAAGGAAATCAAGGTTTTCTCCCAGACCTCAGACGCCAACTTGTGGGGATAGATATCGAGCAGGTTCAAGCGGAATTAATTGATGTTCGAGGCCAGCTGGGGCAGTTCACGAAAGATATGCAAGTGTTGCGCTCGAATCAAGAGACGCTAGAAGAAGAGAACTGCCGATTGAAGGCCCAGGTAGGATTGATGGCTGAAATATTGAGGAACGTACTCAGAAGAGAAGGAGGGCAAATGTCTGAAGACGCGGCTGGCTTATTTGCTCCTCAGGGGTCTGAAGAACCATTACCCACGCATGATAGGCTTAAGAGACTCTCTCCACAGTTTGAAGCTCAGGATTCTCCTCGTCAGCAGTCGCAATTGATTTTTCAGGATAACTCAAGGAGGTGTGGTAAGAGGATGAAGTTTTCTAACAGAGTATTTGATGAGATCCCAGTGGATTATGATCAGCTGGTGCAACTCTTGTTCCAACTTCAACTGGTTGAGCCCCGCATTTTGGTTCCACTGACTGGGCAGCCGCCACCAGACTATGACCTGAACGCCTATTGTGCCTTCCACTCCGGCGCACCGGGGCATAACATTGCAAATTGCAAAGCTTTTAAGCATAAGATTCAAGATTTGCTGGATGAGAAAACAATTGAGTTTGTACCGGGGGGTATAAAAGTTTCAGGGATTGATATTCCCATTTCTCCGCCAGAGGTTGCAGACGAATCAAAGTATATCCGAGAGCCACTGGAAGCTAAATCCCCATGTCCACAACAGTTGCCGATGCCAGGGTTGAATTTAAGGATGATAGCGCGTGAGCCTAAGGAACCGTCCGAGCAAAGCCAGCAGCATACGAGATGCCAGTATCCGGCTCAACAAAGAATTCGGGGAAAGAAATCAAAGAGGGTATTGGAGGCACCTCCATCAACGTATGCAGAACTCTTTCAGACCTTGTTAGGTTTGAACCTTATTGAAAAGAGAACGTCAGCCCCACCAAAGGGCGCACTTCCGTGTGGTTTCGACGCCAGCAGGCATTGTAAGTTCCATTCTGGGGCACCCGGACATGATATTGAGGGTTGCCACGCGTTCAAGCATAACGTCCAAGATTTAATTGACATTAGGGTTATCAACTTCTCTGATAGGGTCCCTAAGGTGGTGCAAGGCCATAGACAAGCGAAAGTCGGGGTGATGAAAAAGTTTCCTAGGTTTGATCGGGTCGTTGAAAGAAGGTCGAGGCAGTAGTGGGCTGCCCCTGATAATAGTTTCTGAGGATGGTTGACTCACCAATAAGTCAAAGTGCAGGAAGTCCGGTTCTGAGACACCGACATTTTTTCATGTTATCTTGTTCATGTCTTCACATTTGTAGTTTCTTTTCTGTTTAATTGCAAATTTCGCTTGTAAAGCTTGTTGTTTTTTCAATTGATATTGATAAATGAAATAAATATGCATGTTTTGAATTAATCCAGTCGTGTTCACTCTTTGCTTTCTTTAATGCTTAATGCTTGTTTTAGCAGGAATCCGGGGAGGATGATGAAAACAGATGACGAATAATCTTCCGATTGTAGGCTTTTGAATAAAAAACCTGTTGACGATGTACAGGCATTGTTTCAATCC